TTCTATAAATTTGTAAAACGGAAGTCCATACCTGGAATACAGGGAATATAATTACTTTATCTTAATAATGTGCGTGTATAGATATACTGTAGAGCCAGGAATTTCTCAGTAATTTTTCTAGGTGTTTATGTCCTGTGGTGTAATAGTTAGCCCTTCGGACTCTGAATACGATTAAATATATACAGGGTGCCTCAAAAAAAACGCAACCACTTAATATTCTAAAATTCATATTGTTCATAAGCTCAATAGATTTTATGCCCCTGGGATTTTAAAATGGCTTCTAATCGTACAGTTCAACTGCTAATAGTCAAATCAGCTAAACTAATAATGGTGCAGCTAACAACCGAACAACAAGTTTTTATTGTCGTGCATGATAACTTGAATCCTAACTGTCGACCTTGTAAAATAAATTGTAAATAAAATTTCACTCGTTAAATACTTTCAATTCAGCTCGTTGGTTTACGCAGCCGACTTTGTTTACCGACGATTGTGCTGCTAGAATATGATTACAAGCTTTCTCGCATTCCAGGGGCCAAACGTCTTTTGTGTTGTAGAACAAAGAGGATATTCATGAATATTAAGTGTTGCGTTTTTTTTGATACACCCTGTAGTTGCCATAGTTAATAGCTATAGTTGCATATAATTTACAAAAGTATGACAACAAGAGCCTCATCAGAGAGTTGAACTCTGGACCCCTGGGGCCGGTTGTTCGAAATGTGGATAAGTCGCTATCCAACGGATAAGTCGCTATCCAACGAATAAGTTTTATCCAGCGTGTGATTTGCGTCGCACGAAGCTTGGATAACTTTATCCAGCGGATAAAAATCGCTATCTACCGGATAAATTTATCCAAGGTCCGGAGGTGGTTTAAATCCACTATCCAGTGGATAAATTCAAAGATACAAGGTAACACTGTAAACATTTATATAAAATAGGACAAAAATGCCATATTCCTGTTACTGTGTTTCAACAAACTAATACACATCATGATTGTATTCACCATTAAAAATGTTTTCGAAGTGCAATTTGTCGCAGCAGCGTTTCACGTTGCCTACACATTCCGTTCCGAGCGGCGATTTTTTGGAGATCCTCGCATTTATAACAGGCGGTAAATTTACTATACGCTTCTAATCAGTTTATAAACGCGAATATGCAAAGAAAGATTCAACCTATTCCAAGGAAACTTGCTAATATCTAAGTAATTTCATTCACGAACATTAAAATAGTGTTCCTAAATTTGCTATGGAACCGAAAGGCAAAGCATTGCATGCAAGGTCAAGGAATAAAATTGCAATGTGTTTGATTAATAAAATCACTATGATGTGAAGTGCAAAGTTCGAGCAAATCACTTGTTCAAGTCTTTTCCATTCAGTAACTATACTCGAGAATTCGTAATGATTATGAATTCAATGTTGTAAATGCTTAGCAACAGCTGACGTTGTGGTACGAAATTTCAGGATAATCCTGTTTTCTTCCGGTAGATTTTACCTTATCTATTGGATAGCTATCCACTTCACTATCCACGCTTCGTGCAACGCGTTTTTATCCAATGGATAACTATCCACTGGATAGCAGATTTATCCGTTGGATAGGACTTATCTGTTGGATAAGTTATCCATCTTTCGAACAACCGGCCCCTGGTTTACAAGACCAGTGCTCTAACCACTGAGCTAATGAAGCGCACGTACAAGCTAACGCGAATATTGTTGCTTATCTTATAATGTGCACGCATCAAATTATGCTTTAAAGGGTGTATAAAAAAAAGGTAATCCAACTTTGGCGCGCTATTGTACGTGAACTACTCATTCCAGCAAATGAATTTTTTTCACATTCGGAAAGGTTAGGCTTTTAGTTAACTATCGAATGACATGTTTTTAATACCAAATGATGAAAAAATGAGAAAATAGGAGGCTGATAAAAAGTGTTAGTAAAAATCGCATATTCTCACCTCTGAGAGTTGGGACTAAAACCATTGAAAATTAACTCCCTTTAGGACTTAATTGAAGAATTTTGCTTCCGAATAAACTACCCGCCAATGCATGGTATTAAAGTAGGAACAAATCACATCAGGAGAACATTCCAAGCAATTAATGTGCCGGCGATGTTAACTTTTTATCGATAGAGATGGTGGTCAAGTTGAAGGCATGACGCATAATCTCTTTTTAAAAGTGTGAATGTAAATAATCGCAATAAACATGTTGTAAAACCAGTGCAAGCTGTAACATGTTCGTGATTAATTGTTTCTGTTCTTTTTTTATGCCCTGCTTTGATTAGATTCAAAGGTGAAAATATGCGATTGTGACTAAAGTTTTTTATCAGCCTCGTATGTTCTCACTTTTCACCATTTGCTATTAAAAGCATATCTTTCGATAGATAGAAGCCAGAGGAGGTTGGACAAGCGATTAGAAAATTAAAACGTGAGCTCTCAACTAACGAGATCACCCTATTTTCGCCCTATTTTCCGGTGGGCGACAAAAAATACCCTTAGGCATATTGTGTTGTTCTCCTCCACGGCAACCTTTAGTAAAAGGCGAAAGATTTTTTCGTAGGAGAACCAAGGTTTGGAAACTTAGGTGCTTGTCAGTGCTGTATAAACGAAATAGTTTCACTTTTGGAACACGGTAGTCACGGAAGTGCGCGCGCAATGTTATCAATTGTGACGAATATAATTGTTTTTATAATTAGCAGTTGCTCAAACAATTGTGCCATTTTGGTTTGATATAATATGGCGTGATCAATAGCCTTCTGCCAGGAAACATTGGGAATTCCGATTACGCCAGCTGTTGATCTCGTACACTTTTGATAAACACCCGCCTGAAAAATCCGGCGGGCGACAAAAAATACCCTTTGGCCCAATGTGTTGTTCTCCTCCACGGAAATCTTTAGTAAAAGGCGAAAGATTTTTTCGTATAAATGAAAAAGAACCAAGGCTTGGAAACTTCGGTGCTTGTCAGTGCTGTATAAACGAAATAGTTCGCTTTTGTATTTTGGGACGCGGTAATCACGGAAGTGCGCGTGCAATGTCATCAATTGTGACGAATATAATTGTTTTACTTGCCAGGCGAATTCTTGCCAACGGAAGAACCAAATATTTCAATTTTTTGTTAATAGATTATCCGAAGTACCTTTTCTTCTGCTGTTTTTGCTTTTGAAAGCTGTCCAGATCGTGCATACCTGTGTGATCAATGTAATCATATGAACAGTGTCCACACTTGTTTTTTACACGTGCCTCATTAGCTCAGTTTAGAGCTCTGGGGCCGGTTGTATCAATCCCGTTTAGCTTTAACGGTGGATAAGTCAAAATTAAATCTCTTAATTAAACACTCCTACATCTCTCTTGAATGAGTCAACTTGAATATTATGCACTTAATATTTGGTTGTAAACAGTATACATTTAGTTTGCTTGTCGAATGAAACGACTGACTTGCTTTCTATTTTGAACCTAACCAACGTTTAAGCTAAACGAACTTGATACAACCGGCCCCTGGTCTCGTAAACCAGGGGTCCGGAGTTCGAATCTCTGACGAGCTCTTCACATTTTCCACTTAAACTCAATAATATGAACGACTTTTGTGATTGACTTTTTGTAACAATAGTGAACTGCAATGTTTATGATTCGTTCTTTCAGAAATCAATTCCTATAATACTTGCTTGTGTTTTATTGTGTTTTTTTTTTATCATTGCCAATCAACTGGCAATTATGTAGTCGTGGCTGAGTGGTTAAGGCGACAGGCTCGAAATCAGTTGGATATTCCCGCGCAGGTTCAAATCCTGCCGACTACGTGTCTTGTTATCCCGAAAGATTTTCATAACACGGAAAAATTTTTTGCCAGCGGGTGGAATTTCGTCTTATACCAAACGATATATTTTTGGCATTTTTTAGGGAAAAACAATCAGAGTAGTCAAAATTTTTAAAACTTGGTGTAAAATGGTAAATACTGTACCCTTTTAACCGAAGTAGTCAAATTTACGCATTCTGATTCGGTTACTAAAAATGTAAACAAACATGCTGTTTGGTCTAGAGCGAAATTGCCTCTTCTTATAAGGAACTCTATTCAGAAATTATTTCTCCTTTATAGGCTCGCTTTTAAGAGTATAATATTAGGCTGTTTGCCGCACGAGTCAACGGAACTTTAATTTTTCATTTACCGTTATGCCGGAATTTTTGATTATTTATTGTAAGCTACTTCACTTTTTTCGCTTTGGGTGCAGACAGAGTGGACACGGATTCGATACCCGTGCAAGCCCTGATTGTCCTCCCAAATTTTTCGAAGATTGAGTTCCCTTCTTCAAGACAAAAAGCAGTGTTGATCTCCCCATAAAACTTTGATCCCATGCAGTGTCAATCCCATATGGAAAAATACAACGAGGAGATATACTATGCATGCACAAATGTATTCATAGTAAAGAAATGTCATCCATGAAGACGTTGTCATTCATTTTACAAGAACTGAACATCGGAAAATATGCAGAATTAACTTGGAAGGGATAACTATTTTTTGACGATGATTCGTTTTTACAATTGTAAAAGCGTCATGTGTATGCCTTATTGTCTGAATGGTTAGAGCACTGGTCTCGTAAACCAGAGGTCCGGTGTTCAACTCTCTGATAAGATTTCCCCCGTTCTTACCTTATTCGGAATAGCGCCAATGATAAGAAAATATCTATCTGCGTATATATTCATAGCACCAGGGCAGTGTGTAGCACGCAGGGTATAAATATAAATATTATTTTTAAAAATATTACGAAAAACTTTTAATGCGAAGCAACGGTTTTCTGAAGAATGATTTGAGATCCAAAGATCTAATCCCCCAGTTGCTGCCTTTCCTTACATCTTTTCGAGCAATCGGTAAACGATAGATCACTCTTTACGAAATTAAAAATATAATTTCTGAGTTTGATTCGTGTAGCATGGGACCTAATTTATGGGTGTAATTTGAAAATATGTTTCTTACAGCGGAGTAACATGATTTTCGAAATTGACGACATTACTTGGCGTTGCGCTTGTGGTTCAGTGATAGAATTCTCGCTTACCACGCGGGAGACCGGGGTTCGATTCCCCGCAAGCGCATAAAATTCCCCTCGGATGCATTGTCCTGATCAATAACACCCATCATGTGGTTTCTTTTTCACACTTTCTGTGGGGTACCAAAATTATCAGAAGAAAAGGGTAATTTTGAAAAAAACGACACTGTTACATAAGGCATAGCAAGTTCCCATGTGGTCTAGTGGCTAGGATCTGGCGTTTTCACCGCCATGGCCCGGGTTTGATTCCCGTCGTGGGAAATCCGTTTTCATAATTATCCGGCAATTATACGGCAATACATTTAACACCTGAATGAATATTATTGCAGGACACGAACACTGACAAGAATATGAAGAATCGCGTTTCATCGAGTTTGTTAAAAAGGAAATTATATTTTGAACGAATAAAGTTGAGTTGCGTTTTCGAGAATTTATTGTGTTTTTAATTGATTACATATGGAAAAAATATGGAGGATGCGGGCATCGATCCCGCTACCTCGCGCATGCAAAGCGCGCGCTGTCTTATTTGATCTAATCTCTCACAGCCGCCTTAACGCATTGAAATCCATTTTTACAATGACACATATCTTTTTTTCTTTTTTTTACATTGGATTTCCCAAACAAACTATTTGTTAAAACCGCAAAATGAAACCGTTATTTTCAATATTTTGCAGACATACCAAGCTAACCAGCAAAATATTTCAAATTAGTTCCTGCCGAAACCCGGGATTGAACCAGGGACCTTCAGATCTTCAGTCTGACGCTCTCCCACCTGAGCTATTTCGGCATACAACCGTTTACGGCAATACATTTAACACCTGAATGAGTATTATTGCAGGACACGAACACTGACAAGGATAGGAAGAGTCGCGTTTCATCGAGTTTGTTAAAAAGGAAATTGATAATTTGAACGAATAAAGTTGAGTTGCGTTTTCGAGAACCTAATGTGTTTTTAATTGATTATATATGGAAAAAATATGGAGGATGCGAGCATCGATCCGGCTACCTCGCGCATGCAATGCGCGCGCTCTTCCATTTGAGCTAATCCCTCACAGCAGCCGTAAAGCATTGAAATCCATTGTTACAATAACACATATCTTTTTTGGGGTTTTTTACATTTAATTATCCAAACAAACTATTTGCCAAAACCGCAAAATAAAAGCTTTATTTTCAACATTTTGCAGACATACTAAGCTAACCGGAAAAATAATTTTATTTCATTTTAGTTCATTCTCCATTGCCAGTATATCAATTTGACATAGGCAGTAAAATATTTTTCAAAATATTTTCCATGCAACTATCCTTCGAACCGGATTTAAACCAGTCACCTAGGGATGTTTGCTTGCTTATCTACTACCCCCCGCTCTGCCAACTGAGCTATCGAAGTCTGATAACGGCCCGCTTCATTATTGATCAATAAGTATTTGTCATATAATTGTTAATTCTATTAATTAGAATTTTGATAATGTTATTAAAAACTTAGGTATATAAATTATATCATTTTTAAAAATATTACGAATGCAAAGTAACGGTTTTCTGAAGAATGATTTGAGATCCAAAGCGTAATATTTTGGAGGACGCGGGCGTCGATCCCGCTACCTCGCGTATGCTAAGCGCAGGCTCCACCATTTGAGCTAATCCCCCAGATGCTGCCTTTCCTTACATCTGTTCCATTAATGCGTAAAAGATAGATCACTCTTTACGAAATTGAAAATTGAATGTCTAAGTTTGATTCGTGTAGCATGGGACCTAATTTATGGGTGTAATGCCAACATTTTCTAGAACATGCATCGCAAAATATACGCACAATTGATAATGAACTCCTGTAAAACATAAAACGTTGATTGAAAATATGTTTCATACAGCGGAGTAAGCTGATTGCCGAAATTGACCGCTATATGTGGCGTTGCGCTGGTGGTTCAGTGGTAGAATTCTTGCCTGCCACGCGGAAGACTGCATGGGGTTCGATTCCCCGCTAGCGCATGCAATTCCCATCGGACTTCATTCATTCCTTCAAACTTTATTTACCGGCAGACACAAAATCTTTTCAACAATAAAGGTGGTTTTCAAAAGGGGTGTGCACTACTTTACCAATTCAAATCCCACCCACTTTAATCTATCTACTATATACGTACAATACTTATAAACATAATTTTTTATAAACATGAAAGTGTAAACTATATTATATGAGATTAATGGAGAGAAAGTGTAAAAATTAATAATTTTTAAAAATTAATTTACACAAGAGGATTTATAAATTGAAAGGTCGAGGAGGAAAGCTTTTCACAAAATGAATTATAAGATGACAACGTTCTTATGTCCTCCGGAATTTGGTTCCAGACATAAGCACCGTTGTAGCTATAACCTTTTTTCAAGTAATCCGTCCTGGGCTTGGGAAGACATAAGCTAGTTAAGGACCCTCTCAAATCATAATCATGCATCGTATTAGAATGTTGAAATAGATCTCTCAATCTTCGAGGAGCTAGATTATTAATCGTTTTAAACATATGTCTGGACTTTATGTCGCCCTATATTGCAACTTTTGAAGACGATCACTAAGCGTCTTACCTATCACATCCCAAACTTCACAACAATAATCAAAATGAGGCTGAACTAAGGCATTGTACACTGGCGGTCAAAAAGAACTGCTCAAAACAAATTGAAATGCTCTCAAATGAACGTAACTTTCGCGCTAACAATATATACGAGTAAATATAGACTAGATTACATGCTAAGCTGTATATGAAATATTAATATTTTGTTGACCCTCCTTTGGCTTTATAATTAATAACGGCCTTACACCGGCGTGGCATATTTTCTGTTAAGGTGGTAATCTTAACGGTCAAAAGATTTTTTTTCCCATGGACAGTCTTTACAGCAACGCATAAATCATGGACGCTTTATGAATGAATTCCTTTTTTGCACTATCCCCTTGACATTGTCCCACAGATTTTCAATAGGGTTAAGGTCTTTTGGCTGTGCAGGCCAATCCATTTCTGTCACTCCCTCTTCCTGAAACCATTGTTTGACTATATCTTGGAAGTGTGACAGGTTGCATTTCATTATTGAAATATTGCTTGGAATAAGAGAATTATCCAAAATGCCTATGAAGCTCTCTCCTATATTCGCTTCTTTTTTATAAATTTGTATCTAAACAGTTCTTTTTGATCGCTAGTGTACAATAAAAGATTGATTGTTACTATTCCTGTTACACACGGTAATAGCAACATTTGAGCAGTTCTTTTTGAGCGCCAGTGTATATGAACACTAAAGTATTCCGATCAACAAACTCCTTAGCCTTTTTAATAGCACCAATTCCTGCCGAGTGAGTTTACTTGCAATAAACTAAATGTGCTTCTTCCAATTTAAGTGCTGATCTACAGGGTGTATCAAAAAAAGGAGACCTTTAGAAATCAAGCTATTGTTAAAATTTGAATGCCTTTTCAATTGCATTTGCACTTATGCTGAACCGAAGTGCGTGAAATATTGATGCATACATTAGAAAAAGGAGACCTTTAGAAAATGAATTGACGTTTGTACACAAGATTGTCTGCTCCTGGGAATTTGAAAATAACTTTAATAGCATAAGCAAAAATAACGACCCAAAAATATTCAAATGACTAAGCACACCAGTACAAACATGGTTCAACCAACATGGTTAATGTTCAGGCTCAGCAGCCTGTACATTGTGGGTTTGAGACAAAACACCAGACTCCTGCGAAGCAGCAGGAAGTGCTAGGAAAGCAGAGGGAGGAGAAACGAACTCCGCCTCAGAAAAATAATGGTCGCTGGCCTCCTGGTGAAAAATGAAGTTCAGCGACAACTCCGCAGAGGAGAGGCAAAAATTCGAGCCTGGATGGAAAGAAGGCGTCGATAAGGGCCCATCGGAATGAACACTCCGAGGACCGAAAACTATAAAAGGTGACTCGACCTGCGAGTCTAGGCCACGCAATGACGGCACGGAAGAAGATGCTGCTGATGATGTCCCAGCAGCAGGAGCGGAAGAAAGAGCTAAAGCTCCCTCCATTGATTTCGGAGTGCTGTCCTCAACCGGGAAACGGTAATCAATGGGGACAATAGCTGTTTCAGCATCAGTCACCCGAGGTGCAGCTGGAGGAGACGAAAACTCTCCCTCTGACTTCTGCGAAGACGACTCCGAGAGAACCGGCCGAGGTGTTGAAACGACCGGTGTTTTTTCCGGAGAAAGAGGCAAAGTTTTCGACACTGTGTCAACTACGGACTGTCCAAGGACATCCAAATCGTTAATGTCCTCAAGATGGTCTTGGAGGGCCTGAAAACGATTAGCTGTTGGAATAGCTGGGATGTCCAAAGTAACCGGTTAAGGCCGTGGGGGATTAGCTCAAATGGTAGAGCGCGCGCTTAGCATGCGCGAAGTAGCGGGATCGACGCCCGCATCCTCCAAAATTGTACGCTTTGGATCTCAAATCATTCTTCAGGAAACCGTTGCTTTGCGTTAAAAGTTTTTCGTAATATTTTTAAAAATAATATTTATAGCTAAGTTTTTAATAATATTATCAAAATTCTAATTAATAGGATTAGTTAACAATTATATGACAAATACTGATTGATCAATAATGAAGCTAGACGTTATCAGCCTTCGATAGCTCAGTTGGTAGAGCGGAACCGCGCGCTTTCTAGAAAAGTGTGGGAAAATTTTAAAATATACATAGGCCTCTGAAATGGCCGCAAATGCCTCTCAATTTAAGGATTAATGGAAAATGATAGATACTTTGTGAAGTTCCCAGCATTTTTGGCGCTCAACAATACAACCATGCTTTGATTATGATGCGAAGTAATCAGTGATGATTATGATGCTAAGTAAGATTCTGGTGCTATGTAAAGTTTCAAGCATGTTTGGTGCTTATGTACAAAGATCGATATAAAGTTGCAACTTGCAAGCATCGAATATTATCAATTGTGCATATATTTTGAGATGCATGTTCAAGAAAATGTTGGCATTACACCCATAAATTAGGTCCCATGTTACACGAGTCAAGCTCAGAAATTATATTTTTAATTTCGTAA